ACAGCATGCCGTGGACATATCAACTACGATCTTCAGACGGCATGCCGTCGAAATATCGCTACCCGTAAATAAATCGTGCTGTTATGTCTTGCCATCGAAATATCGCCACCCGTAAATAAATCGTGCTGTTATGTCTTGCCATCGAAATATCGCCACCTGTAAATAAATCGTGCTGTTATGTCTTGCCACAGGTGCGTTCCTGATCACGTTCATCATGTCGGTGTACGACCAGGTGTTGGCGGTTATGTTCGTGGACGTCATCGACCGGTTCCAGATCTCCGGTACCGTGGCCTCTGTCGCCTTCACCATCCACGCCGTTACACAGAGCCTGGGCTGTGAGTCTCTCTCTCTCTTTTCTTGGTTATTTTTTTTGGTTTTTGTTTTTGTTTTACTTTCTATTTTTGGCTCGTTTCTCTTTTTTTCTTCTTCTTTGTTGGCTCGTTTTTTTTCCTGTTTTCTTTTTTTTAAAGCTCGATTTATTTATATTTTCTGTCTTTTTTAAAGCTCGTTACTTTTTTGCTTTTGGTTGGGGTTTTTTCGGGCTCGTTTCTTTTGTGTTTTCTTTTTTTATGGCTCATTTTTTTGTGTGTGTATGTTTTCTTTTCTTTGTTGACTAAGTTTTTATTCTTTGTTGTGTCGGGGTTTTTTTTGTTAGCTCGTTTTTGGAGTTTTTTTTCTTTGTTGGCTCGTTACATTTTCCTCTTTTGTGGGCTCCTTTCTTTTTGTGTCTTTGTTGGCCCGTTTCTTTTCTTCTCTTTGCTCGATTGTTTGTTTTCTTTTCTTTGTTGGCTCATTTCTTTTTAAACAATTTTGTTGGTTCTTTTTAAAAGAAATCTGTGTTGCCTCCTTTGTTTTCTTTTCTTTGTTTGAATTTTTGTTTCGTTTCTTTGTTGGCTCATTTCTTTTTAAAAAAAAATCTTAGTTGGCTTGGTTCTTATTTTTCTTTGTTAGTTCGCTTTTTATTCTTTATCTTCTTTTAGCTCATTTTTCTGTTTTTCTTTGTAAGCTCGTTTCTTTTGTTTTCTTTGTTGACTCATTTGTTTGGTTTTCTTAGTTGACTCATTTGTTTGGTTTTCTTTGTTGGCTCATTTGTTTGGTTTTCTTAGTTGGCTCATTTGTTTGGTTTTCTTAGTTGGCTCATTTGTTTGGTTTTCTTAGTTGGCTCATTTGTTTGGTTTTCTTAGTTGGCTCATTTGTTTGGTTTTCTTAGTTGGCTCATTTGTTTGGTTT